TGCATAGCAATTTTACGTAGTTCTATTTTGTGCCAATCTTTATTTCATTTACGATATAAACCTTTATAGGATAGAATAGATCACCTATCAGATCCCCCTTAAAACTCCCCGTTATAACCATTATATCAGAGTTCAATGTAGTATGGCAATAACAAACAATTTAATTTCCCATGGAACTTATAATAAACAATTAATTTTAACATATCGAGATATAACCATGAGTTATGTTAAAACCGAAGATACTGCCAATGTCTATGTAATGGTTGTGCTTAGCCAAAGTTCAATGAATTTTTCACCCGAGTTAAGCAGCAGACTTTGTTTATTGCAAACATCAAAGTGTTGTCTACCACCTTATTAATTACTTTATTGGTTCGGGAAAATATGTACAAGTACCTTTCAATCGCCATATAAATTGCCTACTCGATAAATGGTTATTGAGTTTTTGGAAAGCTACGCAAAACAAGTTTTGCCAATATAAAGAGAAAGCTATACAGCGGCTTATCTGGGGTATGGCAGCCATGGGCGCCGTTTGAATAGGAGCGCAAAAAGAGGAGAAAATTTTATTAGCAAAATATTTTAATCAAATAATTTTAAGTTGGAATTAATTGAAACTCGTAGTTTTACGTAAATAACATCGTACAAGCATCTCAATTCAACAAAAATCGTAAACAATTATCAGCCACATTTCTAAAGTTTGCCATGGGCGCCACTTTACGTAAAATACGCCACAGTTTTATATGTGTTCTGGCTGTGTAGTCTCAGTCGAGGATTTACCATAGGTTGACAACTTATTCGAATTACGTATTGAAATTGGACCTGGGTTTCGGAATCGCCTCAAATATGTTGGTGACATTATTCTACGTTTTTTTACGTAGATACGCCACTTAAACGAATTTACCGCAGATGATGAAATATTGTTTTATGGAGTGTTTTGACTCAAGTCTCCAAATAAGGCTACAAACAAGCGCTGCGGTGGTTTGGAAGAACCAAAATCTTTTCAGCGTACCCAACTCACTTTATGAGACGGCTATCCAAAAATCTCAGTCTAGGGTTATTTTTGCACACATTCGAAATTGCACACACACTTAATCACGACTGAATGAGTTTAACCCCAACCTGTTATTCAATGACCTGTTTGTACAGTGCAAGATTATTTAGTTAAAACAGACAATAATATTATGAAAATGTAAGACCTTGCTCTATGGCAGGTTCAATTTTCAACCTGAATTCAATGGGAACACTATAATATTCTGCCTATAACTATACAGGGCTAGTCTATTGCTACTTGAACCCATGACAAACCTGACGTATCGTTAAAATAGTGTTCCCTACTCATTGCTGGACATGCATTTCGATTTCCACTGTCGTCAATTCTTAGTATGGATTTAATGGGAACACTCTATTTGTCTGCACATAACTAAACTGAGCTGTTCGTCTCCAGGTGTGAATATATACCCAAATACACAGTGTTCTATATACCACTTGGGGAAACAACATTTTGATTTCATCGCATATCAATTATTTTTCCAAATTCAGGGGGATCACTATCTTTATTTGCACATAAGTATACTCATCTTCTTATCTGCTATCTTTAGTTGAAGTCAATTGTATTAGTCGCCACTGCATGCACATAAATCCAAAAGGAACACTTCATTAATTTTCGGTATAATTAAACTGAACTACTCGGCTTACTCTTAGTAGCAAATACACAGTCGTTGCTGCATCTTTCATTCGAACAACTGATCTCGGACGTAGATTGCATTATACAATACCAACCAGGTATTGTGAGAATGTATGTTCCAGAATGCATTTGTGAGTAAACTTTATAGTCTTTCCTACGTGCACACAGATCCAATGGGACCACTACATTAATTTGGGTTCAATAAAACTCCACTACCCAGCTTAAAATCCATGATAACTGGTCTGGTCATTACTTCATTCGATCTCGGTCGTAGATTGCATTATATAATTCCAGTCAGGTAAATGTATTTGTGAGGAATTTTTTTTTATAAAATTATGTATTCATATTCAAACAATTGATACATGTTGTAAAATTCTTTGAAGATGAAAAATAAACTTAATCAAATCTTAGACCGATTATTTGCTTTCAATGTATTTTTATTATTTATTTGTCTTGTTATTCATTTCCTAAGCGATTTTCAAAGTAGTTTTATCAGTAGTTTGTGACTCAAAATTTAGACAAGCTTGTAACTCTAGTTTGCCATGTTAAAAATTGTACATTTACGTGAATTTAACGGTTGTTGAAGCAAACATAAAAATACTATACAGTCTTGAATTATAGTGGCTTATATCTTACTATGTATAAGCTCTCTTCGCTTAATTCTCATCTTAACTTATTCTATAATACAGTATATTTTACTAAATTTTATACCATACCCACGTGTCCTGTCCATCAATGAATTACGAGTTTCATTAAAATTATGATACGATAAGTTAGTATTAAAGTATACCGACGGCTATTCAAAACCCAAAACAAATAGTCTTCCAGACTATCAAAGTAGAATCAAAGACTGGAACAGATTGTCAAAAATAGTTTGTTGAAATAAGAAGGATAACAAGTTGTCTGATATATGTCTGGTTGATACAGTATTCCATGAAACATTGTATTCGTCAATAACGAGATGGCGAGTATTCTCTGCAAAGCGATACGGTATATATAGTCCAGTGCTTCCGGCCATTTTTCAATTAACTTACAATTTACTATTTTTGCCATTGATGCGAAACTTGATCTTGCATATTGGATATTATCAGATCAAGTCTAATAACGAAGCATAATTCTAATTATTACATTGTTTCATGATTGTTACGTAAAGATGATGCCATAATTTTCCCATTTAATCGAAAATGTATGTAAAATTTGAAACTAAATCGGGACCCGTCTTGAACAGCTCGCTAACTACTAGTTGCGAAGCAATACGGAAACCTATATACAGGTTACAAGTTACAACAACAAAAAATATTGTTGTTTATAAACAGGGGCAGTTGATTCCCAAGGGAGTCACAGAGCAATTGTAGGGAACCTAAAATCAAAATAACACTCTAAATACGACTGGATTGATAACCAGAAGGGTTCTTAATGCACCAGTAAGAGGCCGCGGGCCACAAAACGCGGGGATCCACTGGTATAGGGGTCACAAACAGTTTTGCTTTGAAACGGGCTTCATACAAGCAACTTCGCATTTATGCAATGTCAATTGTTTGATGCTTTTGGGGAGATTATAATTATTAAAACACCAAATATTCATCTTGTTTCAGGAACCCATGGGAGTTGGGTGACAATGTAAATGTAGAGTTACTTTTCTAAAGTTAACTCAATAGATTTCTGTAAGTCACTGATAGAAATCGTATATGAAATATCTCTAAAAACTGATAACTGAGCAGAAAACTTCTTTTGACATAATTTTATTTCTTGTTTTGATTAATATTTAGATAAAAAGTGAAAAAAAAAGTAAAATTAAATAACTTTAACGAACATTAACAACAAATTCAGTAAATTATAGTTACATCATACTTGGCCAAGCATAAAAACATTTAATTTTTTAATTAATTGTTTGGGTCAAGTGTGACTCAACGATAATTTACTAAAAAGAAACTTTGCTTCAGCAATATTTAATAACATAATATTATTTCAGAAATATATTGGGGGGCTGGATTTTCACAACAAATAACGGGAAACGGACACTTCCACAGGCATCAAAACTGTACCAAAATATTCGTTAAAAGCAATAGTAGTAGAAGTATACCAAATTTACACGAATGCTGCCTGTATTTGTCGAGATTATTAAAATAACTCATAAAAGTTCATTAAATCGCAATTAAAGATGTTTGCTTATAGCAAACCCCTTTATTTTCAACCAAGAACATTCAGTAGTTTATATAGGATGCGACGAGTTTGAGTTTTAAGGTTAGGGTCTTTAGGGTGAGATATTATGGAAGCAAATTTGCTATTAAATCTAGAAATACCAATCACCTTTCATTTGATTAAAACTACTTTTAGACATAAAATTGACAGATAGAGAAAATATTGATCGAAATTGATCAAAATTCACTTTGAGTCGTCTTTTTAAGGTGATAACAGCTTGAATTTCAATAGACAAGCAAGTAAAACGAACAATAAAATAAAAATGAAAAGTTTAAATTGTCGCTTTAATAAAGGTAGAATGCAAAATCATTATTGATATTTCATTGATCAAGGATGACATAGTTGATATTCAGCAATAGAGAATTAAGATTTTGAAATTGTACCGAATTATGAAGAAATGGCAAATCAAGTAAAACCCTATTCTTAGCAAAGGAAGTGTTTGAGTTAGAATGAATACAAATTGTTTGTATTACAGGGGCTGCTACGATGTTGCATTCCTGATACTCTACCCTCTACTCTACACAAATGGCCATTGCCAGGAAGGATCTACTACTGAAAAGGGCCAGAATCTTTCCGCTGCCACGTAGCAAACACAATTTTTTACACCCGTACTTTTCATATACTGTTTATTGCTTATTCCCTCTCTAATGTTTCATATCCTTTAATTGAGTATATATAAATCAGGTGATTTCTGAGCTATGAAATTAGAACAAGGAAAAAAACATGATCAAATCCTAATGCTGCTTCTTATAAAGATAAAATAAAAATAAAATGAAGAAAAAAATAAAAATAATCGGAAAAGCAAAAGAGGTAGCGCATGTTGACTTGTTGGATTTTTCAATCAATCGACCGTATATAAACTTGCATTGATACCTAATCATTTATCATAATCAGTTAAATTTTTTTTATTTATTATTGATATTTAAATTGCCAAAATATCAAAATGAAATTAAAAAAGAGTTCAGGATCAGGTTCAATTCTAATATGAAATACTTTGATAATTTGTTTTCATTTTCGATTGAGGGGTATTAAACTATAATACTGAGTTTCCCTCCTAATTTAATTTTTTTAATTTTGTGTTCTTAAAAACAATTTTGCATGTGTCCTATTTTAGCGCACGACATTTAGGCAATTCTGCAACTAATAATTAAGAAAATTCAATGTTCCAACTTAAAATATTTGTCAAAATAAATTTGGGTACTGGTCTGTATTATACCATATTCTCCAGCGCCCCTGTGTCAGACCATGTTCACACATGGTAGGTCGATAATATAGTTCCAACAAGTAAAAGCATATATCACGTGCAAAGCAATATAATAACAACTGCATTTAACACAATGAAACGTAGCGTTTGAGAGAAAACAAAAATTTGATACCACGCGCATAATATAAAGTGTTCCTATATTTTGTTCGTTAACAATCGTGGTAAATATTTGTTCAAATTCCACTGCAAACTAGAAGTGCATTGTCATGGTAACGGTTGCTATAACAACCATTGTATCTAGAAATTGTGTACACTTGAACGCGTCGTCTGCGAATGTCATTGTCATGTCTTTCTACAACACTTATACATTATGCTTCATTCATATATAATTCACGACAATATAGCTCGTATTAGTTTTAACATTTATTCCGGATGGAATCCGATTTTAAGCCTCATATGGATTGTGGCTCATGGCGTTTGGTGGGAGCCACATTTCAACGACACCTTGCCATGTCCATCGATGCCATGTCCATCATATCAACTTCAATTTTTTTCTGAACAGTCATATTCGGGATTTGGGCAGAATCTTTGTATGTGGCAAACCCTTGGTAGCCTGCTGTCAGCTAATTTTAAACATCGCAAAATCAATTTATATTTTTATTCGTGCTCTTTATGTCAAAGCTTCCACAGAGGCACAAAAATGCAAATTGATTTCACTCATTTTCAAATCTTTATATGTTTTTGTGAGGGGCGTACTGGCAGGCAGAGAATGTTGCTGGGTCAAGAACGGAAGAATATCCGATATAATCAGAATGTTGCTTGGCTTTGAGTCTCAGAGATGTGAGACTGGAGTTACACGGATCAGTCGAAGTACCGCGATACATATTGTACGGGTTTGCAGCACCGGTGTAATGAGTAGGATTAGTGTTCCCTACACCTCCCATGCTTCCAAGTCCGTTATTCATGTTAGGCAATGCCGAGGATACTGCGGACGAATTCTGGCTAAAATTTAACGGCTGGGTTGTGATCGAATTTAATGCTGAGTTGAATCCCCAAGCGGCTGCGTGGTACGGTTTTGCTCCAAGTGGGGACATTTTTGACCAATATGGGGAAGGGGAGTAGCCGTATAATCCATCATCATAAGGAAGTATGCCGTTGATTCCATTGAAGTGAAAATTTTTGTAGTCTGTCATTTGGTTGCGTTCACGTTTTCTCCATTTTGCTCTGCGGTTTTTGAACCAGACCTGAAAAAAGAAAATGGCGTTTAAAATACAGGTTTGGTTTTAATAACGTTGTTTTTATTACGGATTCAAGACACACATTAGTATCATATAGTTTTCAACAAAAACCAATATATTGCAATGGCATTTTGAAGTAATTCAAATTAGCCGCACTGCTTTTGAGGCACTTCAGCCAAATGCACGCTGATGACTCAATTCAAGATTAAATTATACCAGCTATTGTGATGTCATTAATGACGTCATATTCGATAAAATATTTATATGTAAATGTATATAAAAAAGTTATACTGTTTGATAAAACATGCACAATTGATAATAATGAGTCAGCCATTTAAGCATCCGAAACGTTGGTAAAGCTATCATTCATTTCTTATTAGTTCCTAATGCATAAATTGTATATCTTTCATTAAGTTCAACCAAGGTTATTCGTTGGCTCTAGATATGCGACACAAATGTGTATTGCCTAATTAATTTAACCCATCAGCGACGTCTCATCAGAGCAAGCGACACGTGCAATCACACAATTGCCATTAAATTAATTTACAATGTCTTACTTGCTCAATGTATTGAACGCGCTAATTGCAATTTCCGATATTGCACGCGCCCAAATGTTACGGAGTTTTACCAATGTTACACGCTATAGATTCAGAGAGAATATTTTAATTTAAGTTTCGTTTAGTATAATTTGATCGGGTTTATGTTGTCCATATATAAAAAAAATAACATTTTTTTTCTGTTTTATCAAAAAGTAAAACAATAAATTGCCAATTGAAAAAGCACGCGCCCAATTGTTACAGGGTTTACAATAGTGGTATGTATATATTTCACACGCCAGCAAAACTTCAATTTTTTTTTCAACGTGTAATTTTGCAAAATATATATAAAAAAAATTATTTTTTTATGTTTAATTAAAAACTGAAGCAATAAGATAACATAAAACATATCCAACTTTTTTTTAATTTATTTTAATATTAGCGTTTATACAATTTCACGTTCGGTCGATTTTCAAAACTACTAAAACGTAAAATCCATTTGAAGCGTTCTGAAGAAATTCGTCATTTTAAAAACACAACTTTTGATTATAATTCACAATCGCGACTACGTACGTTTATTGCATAAGTTACATAACCGTTTGGTAATATTTATGAGACGTAAATGTGTATTGCACCTTTGTTGAGACCAATAAAACCTAATATTTACAAACTACTTCTGATTTTATGTCGCGGAGACGTCGGAAAAAGGATGATTTACCCTCGGTTATAAATGTTCGTTCACGTAAATCCTCGATTGAAAAACGGTCGATATCTGTGGGCATTGTATGATACAGGGATAGTTTAAAATCTCAAGAATTCCGAACGAGTTGTTCGGGCACTATGTTTATACAATAAACTACTTTATCAATCTTCGACGCAATTAATTTGAGCGATGTCAAAAGTTTACAAGACAATTTCCAGAACACTTTATGTGTAAACAGCAAACAAATGTAATAAACAAAAACGGTTGGGTTTGAGATTTTTAGAGAATTGGGGGAAACACGCGAAACCAACATCCTTCCTAAATCGTATGCATTACTTGGGCTGTATGCATTATGTATTACAATACTATAGCATGAATACAAACGATAAAATGTTTGAACCAGGGAATATTTCAACGAAAAGATATTTACATAGAACTTGTCGCTATTGAAAATTGAAAAATAAATTGTCAAATCTTTATGCGCTACTTATATAGTACGTCGCAATTTTCAAAAAGCTTTTATTTATTTGATGAAATACAAGTAAAAACAGATAATCCTTAAATCGATTAGACGCGAGAACGGTGTCAACTTAGATGCCAAGCTTGATCAAAATCAAGCGCGAATATACAAATGGGCTGATATTCGTTTACGCTTTTCCTATGCATAATAGCGTGTACATTAACTATAAGTCTGCGAGCATATAATTTTATGAACAAATTTAGCCACTTTTAAGTGCCGATAATCAATGCCTCAGAATAACAACAAAATGTTCAAGTGTCAGAATGAAGTAACGACGCGATATTCAGAATATCTTATACGAACTTGCCGAAACTACAAATACTATCTTGACCCAACATACGACGACTCAGTTGGTCAAAATTTAAAATAATTACAAAAATTTAAAATCTACTTACTCTGACTCTTTGTTCAGAAAGATTGATCCAAGTTGCGATTTCCTCTCTTGTTGACATGTCAGGATATCTAGCATAAAAGAAAAATGTTTCTAATTTATGTCTAACAAGAAAATAATGATTTTTATAATAACTATATATTTGAAAAAACGGAAAAAGATTGATTTTAAATTCATTTTTTTTGTCTGCAAAACTACTTTTTTGAAAATAAAAATTTTTCTACAAACTATAGGACGCAGAAAGCAAGATAAAAACTCTTGATCATTCTAATTGAAATAAAATTTCAATAAAATGAAATCATTTACAAAAATAAAATAGGAAAATAATAGAAATATAATTTAAAAAAGTGTGAAAGCTATTTTTCTATTTTTACATCTTGATATATTTTTCTTTTATTCATTTTCTATTTTTAAAGCTACTTTGATTAAAATCAGTAATTTTTACACGTTTATTTCCAATATTAATGTCATAATAAATAAACTCTAGTATTAAAGAACTAAGTTATAATATTCACCTATTTCGTGAAAACAGCGCTTCTAATTCTTGAAGTTGCTGAGAAGTAAAATGGGTTCTCTGTCTTCTTTGTCGACGTTTATTTTTCTCCTCTCCATCTTGGTCATCACTTTGTGAATTCTCTTCCGTTACTTCGGCTGTGACGTCATTACTGACGTCGTCTTTACTGCTTCCGTCGATCATATTCGAATCTCCGACGTCACTACGTGCTTTTTCACCTTCGTCTGCAACGCAAAAATGGAACTTTATACTTAACAAGAAAGTTGATATTTAGATGAAAGTCAAACAAGATTAACATTTTAAAATCCAGTAATCTATTGAATCACTTAAAACATAAATTTCAGATTAAATGTATTCCATTCACATTTAAAGATGAAATAACAGATCAAAATTTAAATCGACTATATCTACTTCCAAAGTTGTTGAATTTCCTGAGAAAAAAATTTAAAACGTTTTCATCATAATTTAAAATACAGTGTCACACGTAAATGTTTATTATATAAATTTGCTTATACGTTCATGACAATTGAATACATAGACTTGCGGAAAGAATTCCAATTTTTTTTTATACGTGATTTGCATAAATTATTTCCATTGTATTATAATATTAGGTTATATGTGATTTACAATAAAGCAACTTATTCGCTGAGCGTCTCCACCATGCATACTTGCTGTTAGGGGCGTAGCCAGCAATTTCAAAGAGAGGGGGGGAGTTGCGTTCCAAAATTTCTAATTGCTGAGTTAGACCGTAACAGTTAGCGGGGCCGACCGTAAAATCGTCGGATTCCAGGAGTCTTGTAGGCCTAAAAGCGGAAAATGGCCATCAAACCCCCTACTGGCTACGTCACTGATCGTTTTCGTCGTCTCGCCTAAATCGGTATTTATTAGCTCGTAATTTATCGCCATAACTGTGTATGGGTTCGGTACCTCTTGGCATTTATTGTTCTCCAGTAACATTGCTCAGAGCTGATATTTGCCTCTTGAGTGCGCGTAAACTCGCTCTAAGTTTATTTTCGTTGAACAATTTTCAATGCTTCTATTTCAAAAAGATCAGCAACACCCATTTCAACATTAACGATATCATATCGTAATATAACGCTTATAATCCTCTTATGCAAGCTAAATTTCATGGATATATGTATTTATCCTATAGTCAATTTAATGGCGTCGCTAAACGGAAAGATCAAAGGTAGTCTACCTCCGTGTGAAAATTTTAGAAGTAGCATTTCAATGTTAAATGTAAATTAGGAAACATGTAAGCACATTAGAATAAAATATTTGTATTTTAAAAATAATTGTAAGTTTTTTTAAACTATGTCACAGTCTGCTGTTTTCGATCTCTATTTTCTCAAAATGGCGTACCATTGCTAGTTACTCATAAGACGCATTGTCTTGATTAGTTCATCAATTAGCAAAATTTTACGAGAATGACTAAACTAAGGAGTTTCTCCATAAAAAACAAAGCACTAGTTATTGTACATTCATAATAAGCTATCGTCCGTCTAGAATATAGTAAGGTGTCTATAAAGTACCTTTACAAATCCAATTTTGTTATGAAGTCAGTTCTCAATATATTTTAACCAGGTTTGTTGTTTTTTAACAGTAATTGTTTAGGTATTTTTACTCTATTCAATAAATCTGTGAGGGCCAAAACAATATATGGTAGCGATAAATTAACTTTGCAATTTTAAAAAAATTTGAGAGTCCATGGACACGCCATACTTTGATTTTAATTTTTTTTACCGAATTTTTTTACCCATCTTAGGTTTTAGAATAGTCAAAGCTTAAAGATATGGCGTTACAGTATTACACTGAGCGCAATATTCGAAGTAGAATAAGCCAATGATCTAACGTGCGATTAAAAGTCATCATTGAATTCTATCCCGTATTTACTTTTAATATAAGCTAAACATACCTAATTAGGTTGTAAAAAAGTTAAGTTTAGGAATTTCCATTTATTGCAAATTTTTCAAAGAAATTACATAGTGAACTTCATTTTCAAAAACGTATTTATGAATAAAAACAGGGCTACAAATACTCACATAAATGAAACTCTTTTCCGAACTGAAGCTTTGACTAACTAATATTAAGCTGGCAAAAACTCTATCTTGTCAAACCTTCAATATCTCTAATAAATCGTAAGACAATTCAAAGCTTGTGATTTTGAGGACAACAGAAAGGTACTAAATTCGAATTTGTTGGAAATATCTCAAAGTCGGATAACACTCAATTCCTAATTCCATTTTTTCACTTAAATCTTACGATTTGGAATTTATCTAAACCAGATCAATGGACAGGAAATGAGTTAAAATTTCAACGTATTTTTCACTAATCCAGGGAGGATTAAATTTGAGAAAGCTCAGGATATTTTTACAAAAAAGAACTAAAACATTGATATATTCAGGGATTGATCCCCCATCCCGGAGGTTCGTGTAAAATCTAATGAAGAGTGTTTAAGCCTTGGGATTTGCGTCACAGATTACCAAACTAATGACTGTATTAACTTCATAACATCCCTGAAAGACATGCCCGGGTCACGCAATAGTAAAAGATTCTAGATCATCACGTAATACTTGTGAAATGAGCATTTTCTTACTAATTAATTAACGTTTTAAATGACTGATGGTAATAATTACCTGCAATAATATTTAGGAGTATATATTATCCCAATAACCATTTTAATGGCCTCCACAATGCAAGGTGAACGATGTCGCCTTTTGGCATATAGTGATATTGATAATTACTGAGAAATACATGCGATACCTCCCATAATCAGATTTTTTTAAGTAAGAGCAAAAGTAAGTAAAAAAAAATGTAAGCAAGAGCATCAAGCAAAATATTTCTGTATAGTATTATAAACTAAGAACACGTTCTTCCTTGCTAAAAACGTTTGTATCAAATATATTTTTGCTAAATGAAACGATGAAGGGTCGATAACCATAATGGTGATTTTTTTTACATGCCAAAAGTACACATTGTACATACAAAATTAATAAAGGTAAAAATGCATTTCAGTGTGAGGGAAGACGCGATATTAAAAGCTTATACATGAAGTAATGGTGATATTCAAACTTGGCATATTACACACACATTGCCAGCTCGACAAATACTAGAACCTAAAGGTAATCGGGAACTAAAAATCTCCTATTAAATTTATTAAATTTTCCGTATTTTGTCACAACTTGGTCTCGTTCCATTAACGAGCTACAAATGCATTACAAAAATCTATATATGTAAACGATCTCTCTTACTTTTCGTTTGATCCTTTGGTGCAAATGGAAAAATCTTTTTATCCGAGATCGAATGCTCTTGGCATCCATTAACGATGAGAACACTGAATTAATCCGTGGCGGAAAAAATAGCCACGATTTGAACAAATGTAAATTTGTTTGGTCACAAAGAAATGTAAATTAGTTTTGAATAAAACTTTGTGTCCGGATAGAGTTTGCCGGAGTTTACAGGATGGCCATAATAACCGGAATATGATATTAAGTTATAAATAATTTTCAAAAAATGTAATTTTGTTCACCTTCAAACAAACAAATAATGCATCAGAATTTTTTTGTAAAAAATAGATGATAAGTTCACGAAGTTTTTTGGGGGAAACATGTATAAAACTTAATTTAGCGGCACCTGTAAATGCATACCTCATACCGCGTCTTCTATATCAGTACATTTAGTTGAGGTTGTTAGTTCGTAATTTGGGTTCAAATAATAATTTCATGAAAAGAAAAACTAGTTTAACTAACAACTACCGATTGCGTAATCTTCAGACAAATAAAAAAACTCTTTATTACTTTTGTAAAAATAGATACAAAAATCGAAAGTTGGCTGCAAATGGAATCGACCACGTTAAGCCCTTGCCATTAGTGCAGTGATGTAATTCAAAGCGACAAATTCGTCACTTACTAAAGTTTTAGTTTGCAACAGGGCGTGCTGTTGTCAGCCATGTTATTTGTCAAATATATAATTGATTACAACACCTTTGAAAACTATTTTTGTGTTATATGAGGATATACAATAAGCCTCAGGTTATTATCAATGGCGTCGTTTTCAAACTTACAGCGAAACCGATAAAGAGAATAGACGATTATGCAAATCCAATTGTCACCGATTGTTACACGGTTATTATCGAATTGTTATAAAACAATGGATTGCCAGACAAAGACATCATGTTTATGTCGTCATAATCAGAATACAAATCAGGTCATCTGCTGGTAATCTATAGTGTCCGGTTTCTCTCGAATGCAATTTGACACAATATCAAAAGAATCGAGGCAATGTAGTAATACAACACATATTAAACGAAATATTCATGCGAAAAGTGATTCAATGAACGACGTTATCGAATATTATGATAGTATTTTTTTAGGTTGACGAATTACTACCAAATTTTCTTTTTTGTATCATATATAAATAGTTTATAAACAATTTTGAAAAAATAAAATTTTGAACGTTTTAAATTAGAATACTTCGCTGTTGATATTTCACGGGTGCGACTCAAACATAAAGCACTTATTGGACGCTCGTTTATTTCTATTTATTTTTTATTCAATTCTGGGGCACGAAATTGTCTTACTGATTTTAAATTCAAACATATGTAAAGCATCGTCTGTGTGCTTTACTCTCATTGAAAATAAATATAAAAAACAAATATATATGCTTAGAATACGACCACCAACGACTCATTCAAGTTAACATTTATATCGTGACAATCATTGAGACATTTAACATTACTTATGTATTCCAATCAAGCACGGGCCATTGTAAAAAGGCGATTAGACTCTCGGGTCATATGTGATCAATTACTGGCAAAAATATTTTCGGTTAAGTACTGTATGCGTGACTACAGTCGGCATCAGAATTTCTCGCCTCGTCGTTCGACTCGTACCACACGTTGTAAAATTAAATATTGATTCTGCTCCCTTTCGTGAAGAGTGTGAAGGGCGCCATTTTGTTTTCGTGCTCTTGCATTTTATCTTGGATATTTATTTATAAATATCAAAAAATTGTTCTATCTTTTGCTGGCTTGTAGTATTTTATGGTACTATTTTTATCATCTTATTAGGTATCAAAACAAGCCTATTTAAAAAGGTATTTGAACTCATCATTATCAGAAATTGCTAAGAATAAGTAGTTTTATACACATTTCTTATTTGTAATATTTGTTTCACTAGTTTCCTGCATTTACATCTATTTTATTTTATTACCAGTGCCCGAAATTATAAATTTTGAGTTAGCAATATCAGCAGCAATGGAAATCTACTTTAAAAGTACTTAACGTTCAAGTACTTATTTAAACTAAGTTATTACAATTGATAAATATTCTACAACACTGTTTTGTTCTAATTTTCAAATGCTACAAATATCATTTATATCTAACATATGATATACTTTTTACATTACGCCGGACAAAAAAACTAATCGTCGTTCACAAAAGCCGGTAACAGTTATTATCTCACAAAATATCTACGCACTAACTAACATAATTTTTTAATTATTGCAAGGCAAACTATCATTTCGCCACACCGGGTTGAAACAAACCCAATGCACAAAATTGCTCAATCCTTTAAATGAAATATTGAAATATTACCTGATGTATTATCAAATTATTACCTGGTTATTATTATCACCAAAAATTCTGATACAATTTATATTTTGTAGTATTTATTTTCTACTATCGAGGTAAAATGGCAAAAGTTTGAATATCTCATTAGAGTTTTTATAAGAATAAAATATTGTAGATTAAAAAAAATAATTTCCATTTCCAATGAGAAAACATCTATTTTTGCCTTTTCCATTACATCGATTTTGTAGGCTTTAGACTGACCTATACCGACTTTATGGTAATAAAAACAAACATGTTAAATCGAAAAGTAGCCTATCTTATATCAATACTTGGTGTACAACTTCCATATCACTGCATCTTACCTTTTGAATGTTGGGTATCGGGCGAATCAGCGCAACTCTGCGGGGAAGAATCCATGCGAGAATCGGTTGTTTCTTTTCTAGAATCGGACTGAATTTTGTTGTTATTTTCAGCGTTGCTTGATTCAAAACACGATTCAAAATATTTTTCTGTATCCAGCGGACTTGTTGTGCTTTTTTGATGAAGTTTATTGCCTGATTTTGGGGAATTTGTGCCTTCGTGTGTGCGTGCACAGTGTTCTTTTTGATTGGTTTGTTCGGTCGACTGTCGTCGATCATTTTCAGAACGTCGGCAACTGCTTTGTGGACTCGTTTCAGCGAAGTTTTGACGACTCGTATGAAAGCTATTCAATGCCTTGCCACCGTTACATGATGAACTTGTGTTTTCGTTTTCAGTTGAAGGAAAGTTTGCGGCCTGTGCGACTAAAGAAGCAAGACCGCTTCCGCTGTAAAACGACGGATGAGAGATTCCTTTATTTTGATAAGCATAGTTCTCTTTGCAAGACGATCCAGCAAATGATCTACCATTTCCATATCGAGCTGCTAGTGAAAGTGACGCCATTGATGGCGTATTTGGTGACGTAGGTAATGAAGCAGATATCGGAGGTGAACCAGGAAGAGCAGAAAGAGCATTAGATAGAGGTGAATTTGTCGGGTTGGTAGCGTTTGACCCGGGCGATGTGGACGGTGATCCTCCAAATAGCCCACCGACGTCCGCGCTCGTGCTATTAGAACCAAGCCCGCTCATATAGCTGTTCCCGTAGTATGGGTGGGTAGGTGGATATTGTGAATGATAGCCGTATGTGGATCCTGCAATTGCAGCTTGCGTAGGCGTTGAATAATGGTGATAGTGCTGGTGAGCCGCAACCGCGGCGGCGGCAGCAGCTGGCGAAAAGAAACTATCAGACCTATAGTCCATGTCAAAGACTAATTTCAAAATTACAGAATATAATTACTATGAATTACTAAAATGTTCTGAAAAATCATTGCACAATTGTATAATTTTAAACAGCTTTACGGTTTTTCAATATTCCACACATATACTGTAAATATGTTATGAATTACTGAACTGCTATTGAAAATTATGAACGATTTATAGTTTATTAAAATGTAAATAACATGTAATACAGAGTTTTTGTGTGATTTGTTTGATTCTCAATCTAACTATTAAAAACTAACCTCTAAACGAACCAGAAACAGCAAGTAAGTACGTATCTTTTCTAATTGGGTATTGTAAATATCTACCTTATTATTTATATGTAATGAATATCTCAAAATCACAAACAAGCTGTTTTTTAATTAGCAAAAATACTTTCTATCAGTTTTCAAGATTGGAAAAATTGAAAGTATTATGTTAAAAGATTTACAAAAGTCAATGAAAAATGATGAACAAAGCTATCTTGCAACTATAGAATTGTACTTTTATTGCAACAATACTTTTCTTATTAAAAGAGGGCAAATTGTATGCTCTACTGCTACACAGTTATTGAAGAGTACAAAGTATAGAATTGAAAAAATTAAATAATAAAAACCCATCGGAACTTGTGAACAGCGATGAACGAACGAACTAACAACTATAGAAGAGTAAGGTAATTGCAACTATAACATTTTATATATGCTACAGTGCTGCACCGTCATAGCTGATGATATTATAATAGCCTAACTTCAAATTGAAACATATTACGAAAATTCGAAAACTATAATATAAAGTAATATCTTATACATCTTCCTTTCTAAACTTGGAATAACCAAAAAGCATTGCTAGCTGCAGCAAGGTCCGTTTTGACACTGAATGCATTTTTCATAACGTTATGCATTTGGAGATTATAAACCTTTTTTCCTTTCTCTTATATTTTGTTTATTCATTATAATGGAACGAAAACGTCGGAGGGCGAGTAAAAATAATCAAACGCAAATTTAATCAATGAAATTCAATAGAGATTAAGTATGTATTTATTATTTCGACACAATGTTCCTTTCAAAACACCTATTCTTCGTTCATAGAACAAGAAATAATAAATTGACAATTAAAAATGTTGTTTTCCAAAAATAAACAATAACAGTGTTGTTAATTATCTGTTTATTGCGCAATATCTTATAACTATTGCGTAATCCGGTAAGATCTTCACATAATCCCCTTTAATCAAACTTAATCTAAAACGTCCTTGCAATCAAAACTTTGGCTTTAAAGCATTATGGGTGGGAATACTTAATTTAATTTGATAGAATCGACATAGAATAGCTATTAATAAAGTGTTTATTTATTCCTTGAATTAGAACGGTTGGAAACAGTAAATGCAGTTCATATATCTATGCATTTCTGATCGGTCGTTTGCTCAAGAGATTCGCAGTCCTAACCAGAAAATAGTTTAAGTTCCAATTTTAGATACATTGCATTGAAAAATTCGAATGTACAAAACACAAAAGCAGTGGCAAAGTTATGAAAGAGAAAAATTTGAAAGTTTTCTAATGTTTTATATTTAGAATATTTTTTTTCTGCTTTTTTGAAACTATTATAAAATAAATATTGCAAAAAATGATATTGAGGGTCGTTTGTCGTTTCAATAATATGGTTTAAATAACGATAATTATTTTACTATAAAAAAGTTTTAAAGTCATAATTGAATTGTCCAAGAAGTAGGCGCCCAGTTTGCTTGAATAAACTTTTTGCAGAGTTTTTCTCAATCAGGTATGATACGATTTTACTGAGTTCTACTAAACATTATAATATTGAATAGCTTTTTGCTCATTGGATCTATGTATATTCGTACAAAATATCAAATAATAAATCGTTTTTTTTTTCAAAAAATTAACCTTTAATGATGAATGAGATTTTAGTTCAGGGAACTTCTTGACAAAGAGCTGGGATTCAAACAATTCCACAAAGCGTGGTTTGTTTTGTTTCGTTTGCAAATCAACCGTAGGGTTTTTCCAAGTAAGATTTGAAAAATTGTACAAGCAATTTATGCGATACTTGCCGTTGCTACAGGATTTTTATTGTGCAATTGAATCAACATAGGTTTAATAAACATATTTTTTTATCTAAAATTTTGAATAGAAATTTATCTTTCCAAGTATTAGTTAAGAAAACATTTTGTAGTAATGTGTAATTTAGAATCGCAAAAAATACAACGAATGCAGACTTGGAGCATGCAAGCTTGCGACCTAGTAGTCCAAATCTCTTTAAATACTTTGCACATTATTCCATAGATTTTATTCTTTTTATATAATATTAAGAACATTAATCTGCGACAAAACGATTTTTTTACAATTTTTACATAAGAATGTTATAGTATAATATTACATACAAACAATGTATGCTTTAATTCGGCGTGCTAAAGTTCAGCTTCGGTCCCCATGGGCTACAGTCATCCATTTTAACTGAAGGTACCATGAACGCGTATTGGCGTATAGAAATTTGCTCTAATAGTCTAATATGTGTTAATTAGCAATTGTATATCTTTTCAAGAACACACAAACACAATTTTTGGCAATATACGATATCTGTTTTTGAAAAAAAAAATATTACGGTAAATTACAACAAGCGCGGAGGTAAATATGTCGACCCCGTCTCAGATGTAAGCTGAAATACTAAAATTTATAACTTATCCTAAGTTGCCTGGGTGGCCTACTACTTCTACGCTAAATATCTAAGCCTAATTTAAAATTCGAATCATTTGAAAAAAAGTGAATACATGTTTTGCATTGACTCCCCATAAAACCTTAGCCTTATTACAGCTACCTTATTCAGTACAGTCGTAAGCCAGTCCGTACTAACGGACATGAATAGCAAACTGGCTAGGAAGCGAACACTAAGTACACACTAACGGATTCATAGTAGTAGCATCGTTCTCCATACCGATGACTATGCGCCAACGACACTCATTGTACATAGCGCGACCGCAATTTACGTTTAAAAGAATCTAGAACTCAAGTTAAAATCTCTGGCTCATATGCGAGTCCAATTTAATCGGAACTGCCTTTTAACCTAAGCCTAAACTGATATACAGATTCCGTTTTATGCTCATCGGAAGCTATGTTTGTATCTCTTAAGCCTCGCGTATGTCAAGCAATTTTACTCTAGTCTATTTGAGCTAACGCCATAATGAAAACATCGAAGCCCCGAATTAAACTCTTCTCTCTCTTTTACTCTCGTTAAAGAATTAAAACCGCGAGTTATACGACATTCTTTGACGTCATATGGTAAAAAAATACATCACCTAACACGCTGTCTCCCTCTGGTGGCGAAACTTGGTAATTAAAACTCGATCGACTGTCTACCAGCTGGCTATTGTATAATGATAAAACGATGTGTATTCAAACGCGCGAATCACTAAATGGTTATTGACGGAATGATATACCCGTTTCAATTACAATTAATAAAAGTTTGCCAGACTATTTGAACGTTAGTTAAATTAATTGATTGTGTATTAGACGTAGGATATACAAGTTGATCATTTTAAACAAGGATTTCGATGATATACGTCGATATACAATCCTCTGATAGCTGTGCGTTCATGGGAAAACTTTTGGGCGGTCCAGAAGTGTGTGTACCAATATCGAGAAAACAATTTTGTTCGACTACTTTACACGAAGTTGTGTGAAGAGACTGAAACCTATGGGCAGGTAAAGATATTCACTTGGCTAACACAGACAGTCCCCGAACTAGTGATATAACTAAAATACGGAAAATCGGAATAAAATTATGGCCGAACCCTAACCTGGTACACACACTACGGCAGTACCAACTTTTGCGTGAGCAATAGTTTAAATGAAGAATCTTTTGGCTTATTTGTGATTTAATATTATGTTTTGTATTGTGATAGATATACAATATCATGCAAATAATACTGTAAATTTATGAATTATAGTATTACCCGTAAAATAAATGGTTCTCGCAAATGTTTATCCGCATATCCCACAGTGCTTGTTTTGCAGAGGGTAATCAATAAGAAGTAAAAAATATATAAATAGCAACAAAAACTTCCATGCTTGAATTCAGGCTTTAGGAAAATATGCTTCGTGAATACCCTTACAACTAATTGGTTTCCGGACAAGGTCGACTTGAAATTTTTCATATCCAACAAAATTGATACCCGTCGCCCTGGTCTCAAATCCAACATTGAATAATCGAAACAAATACCATTTCAAATATCACGAGTACTATCAATTTTTGCATTATAAACATATTTTGGTAGCATATCATACTGCCATATCAGTGTGTTTTGTTTGAAGTTGGACCACTGCGGATTGTATACCAGGGGTGTGCGGGCAGAGATTGAAATTCGGAACCCCCCCCCCTTTCTTTCAAAATGTAAATAATAAATTGCATTTTCCTGTATCTCACATGGTTTCGTAGCTTGAAACGCTTCTTATACACTTCTCTTGCAAAGCCACGCACCCACGCTTCCCAGCCTCCGGCCTGACCCGCTAACTATCTAACGTAATTTCCTTAAAAAATAAAGATAATATTGAACCTCTGGTGTCGCTGCTCGATAACCATTCCTGGTTCCCCGCGGCTTTTCTTCCCAAGTTAAAATGTGTTTTCAGTTTTGTATTTTGTTAATTTCGTATGTTATTTTTTACTGAATGGGAAAAAATAAACCTGACTATGACTATGACTTGGCAATTAGGATTTTCCGAACTGCTTTTTGAGAAAATTCCAAATTCCTGGCTACGTCCCTACTCGCCAAGACACTTCTAATTGCCTTGTTTGAAAGTCATAATAAAAATTATACACAAGCAAATCGCTAAACCATTAACAATGCTACGATTATTCACATAACCTCCAGTTAGTGATTAAACCTAGGCTGGCAACCAAACTGAGAATCACAATTTGACATTTAAATATGTTTTATCGACTTTCTTTTCCCTAGCATAAATATGACAATTCCCAATTCCACAATCAGATAATCCAGGTTTATTTAATATTTTCTCACAGTTTTCTTAAAAAAAATCGACGTGCC